TCAACATTGCAAAATGCCCCGGCACGAAGTGGTTGACACTTTATCTCTGTGCTATCGATAAGTGTTGTTCCAACCCTGAGAAGAAAATCCTGAGGGACGCCCATCATGTTCTCATTTTTTATATTTTTTTCAATACAACACAACTTTGCACCTGCATGAGGTATTGCATGAGATGACACGAAATCCTCAACTGAACTTTTTCCTTATCAGAAAGCATGATTGATTTGCATAAAGGTCAAATCCGGTTCCTCACTCACCGTCAAGCTGTCGTACTGGCAATCGGGGTGGTATTCGATGTTGAGCTCGGTGAAGTACAGCGTCAGGTAGCTGCCCGCGGGCGCCGTTATCCTGATCTGACAGTTGTAATTTTCATGGTAGAATGTGGGATAGCCCGGGCTAGTGACACGGCCGTTGGTTCCTGTGTAGTTCTTGTTGCAATCTTAAGCCAGAGAAAAACGAATTTATCTATTTCAGTCAACGGCGGCGTGGAGTGATAATCCATCATGAGAAAAAATACAGACGTAGGAAGAGAACATGGAGCAAAGGGATGAAAAAAAATCGCATGAGCCATGGTTTTTATTACACTTAATTTCACTACTGCTGTAGAAATCCTGTTTATTTTGAAGTGTCTGCCTTTAGTTTGCACACATTTCTATAATTTGGGCTTCAATTCCAGATTCGGTTCTATGTCTCAAAAACACACTGGCCCTTCATATTTCAATATGAATGGGGCTCTGGACTGTCCACCTGTATTGTAGACTTGATGTTCCTTTTTGGGGGATCTAGGCATAGATGCTAAACTGGAGTTTCAAAAATCAGACTCAGGGTCTCAAAGCTGCAGCCCCATGTCTCAGATGGGAACAAATGTAAGGTTCAACATATTCTCAGGCAGACATTTTTCAGAGGAAAAGAATGGAAGCTGATATCTCCCTTAAAAAAAAATCACGTTTGAGAGGATTTTCCCCAAAACCATTGGTTACAGTTTATGGGTAATAATTTAGATTCACAAGTGGTGGCAGCATTTGTTGCAGAAACAAACTGGCATGAACAGGGTTTGGATGAGTTGGATGTCTTACCAGCTATGGCATAGGTCAGCGAGAAGCCAGATCCGCTGGAGGATTGGTCAGTCATGAAGTAGATCTGTGCCGTGGTGCCGACGGAATCATACACTGGAGGTATGTCACTCCCACAGTATCGCAGCGGCTGACCGTAACTCTGCGCACATTAAACCGAGATCGATTACCAACACATTTTGCTTCTTTTCCAAGCATCTTTCACACCGTCTGCAGATCTTATCTGCTCTGCAGAGAAGAACAAGTTGGCCTTTGATTGAGGTGGCCTGTAGGGAAGATCGAATTGGCAACCACAGAGGGACAAGCGGGACTGTTAGGAAGATACAGTTGGCCTCTAATCAAGGTTGCCTACGGGGGTGGGGGATAGAGGTGACCGGTAGGGTGGATTGAATTGGCCTGCACTGCGCATCCTACACACCAGTAACACTGTTTTCTGGGACTGAGCTGCAAGCTACAGATACAATGCTCAGGCAAGTAGAAACATGCTACTAGAACCAGAAAGGTTAAGATTTCAACCTCCCCCCTCTTCCTAGCCATTAGCCCCTCCTCTCTCTCCAGGCCATCCACACATATTGTATTGTGGACGTGCTGACCCCTATATCCCATGCTCAACTTGAGGCTTTTACTTACAATCGGGTAGTCTCTAAACTCCAGGTAGTCATACAAGCAGTTGCTGTGGTCCTCCACGTCGAACATGTTGACCCTGATGCGGACATGGTCGTGGGTGTCCACTGGCGCCCCGATGTACCAAGTGCAGCGGATGTTGTGCGGGTAGTTGCTGGGGTAGTTGGGTGAAGTGATTGTCTGAGGGGTGTTGGTGGCATTGAACGTCCCGCCGCAGACAGCTGTGCAAATAACCAAGGAGACGGGAGCACTGAGCAAATCACTTGGAGCCATGGAGTTTAGTTGTTCACACAAATGAAATATGGAGTAACAGGACCCACATGCATGGCCATTTTTTAATAACAATTATGAAAAACCTCTGTGTGTAACCTAAATTCTGCTTTAGTTGCTAAGGCTATGTATCATGCATTACTGGAACATATTTCGGTCAACTTTCTATGGCTGATCATAGTCCTTATGCAAGACCAGACTTGAGAATGAACAGTGAATGAAGCTGAGCTCATAAATGTTGACAAATTAACGGCATATCTGTGCTTCACTAACTGTGTTCTCCAGCTAAACCATGAAATAGAATAAAATATTCCACCGTAAGATATAGGCACTAAAACATTGGGGGAAATTTGAATATTGACGTTTTAATCTCCTTCCATGTAACCTTCTCAATCATATTGCAAAGCTATCAATTGTCAATCAATACTTTAATATTGATTCTCAAATAACAAGTCTGTTTAGCATTTCTAATGCCAATATTTATCTGCCAGAAATGTATTGCAATGACACCTTTTGAATTAAATTTCCTCCAAAACAAATAAGTGCGACCACAGATGATGCCAAACCAACAATGACTTACGATCAACAGACGAGTAATTGAACGAGAACCCAGAATAGGTGATGGAGGAGTCAGTGTAGAAGCGGAAGTAGGCTTGGTTGGTGGAGAGGGTGATGGGAGATGGGACTGAACTGCCACAGTAGTATCCGATCAGGGGGGCCTGGCTGCCGAATCCATCACGAATCTGGGTGGGTGGGGGGGGGAACGGGGAAGAGAAGAAAAAATGGGTCGTCAAATAATAATCCACCTCACTGCAATGGCAATGTCCTGGATACAGTCACGACTGCTGGGTGATTCCATGCTATAATCGATTACAACAAAATACCTTGTTCGCAATTGGAAAACCAATGCCCACTTTTTGGCGAATCAGTTCCTGACAGTGATAGGTTCCACTGTTTGCAAGGTTCAACAGACATCGCCGGGGTGAAAAATGATTTGAAATACAGTAAATGAGTGCTTTAGAAACCACTAGCAGTAGAGGATAAGGTAGCCAGGAGTTGTTTTCATCGGATAACAAAGCATCCCTGGAGTTGCTGATGAGATGTTACAGACTGTCTCCCCCTGAAAACGTCTCACCTCCAAGAAATCGTAGGGGCAACTGCCGGGCTGGTTTCCCTCTATGTTGAACGTGCCCAGGAAGGTAATCTGGACGACTTTGTTGGTTTCCGCGGTGACATAGTAGACACAGTCCAGGTTATTCTCATAGTCACCACCCGAGAGGGATACACTGGAGATGATTCCGGTGGGAGTGTTGAAGTTGCCTCCACAGCCTAGGGCGGGCCCTGTGGGGTTCAAAGGCGAATGCTGCAATGCAGTTTTTACCTTCTAACCCTTGTAAATGCACCTTTGCCATGTCAAATATCCTTATTTTCAATTTTTGTTTTGGTATTTCAAAAATATTTTGGTAACTTTTTGGATTTTACACTAATTTAATTTCAGCATTCATGAGCAAAACTGTGATGTCAAACTGGAAGAAAACCTGAATGTTGATTTGTGCGCAAAAAGACGCAAGGGTTTTTCATCATTTGCTGGCCTAAATTTCCTCTTCCCTGGTGATTCAAGCTGTGGCAAGTTGTGTCTGGCCCGACTTGAGGTACCTCCTCACCACCAAACAAGGGACAGACTGGTGGGAAGTTTTTCAACTGGTCCCATACAACTTTGGTCGCGAAAGCACGGGCAGGGTGTGATAATTTTAAGTTGTGTGTGCATGTGCTTCTTTGAGAAGTTGCATAATGGCAACCATTTCCAACAGTAACGTGGGCTTTGCCGTTGATTCTGACGACAGTTCAGTAGTATCATGCCACACTCTTTTTCAGCAGACCTTTCAAACTCACCGATGACTTCTTGATACGCGGCCTGGAAGCCCTCACCCGACACCGAGAAGTCGGAGACAAAGCGAACCAGCATGGAGTTGCTGGTGCTGATGATGGCGTCAGCAGGCGGTGTGTTTCCACAGAGACGGCTCACTAGCAGGGGGGCGGAATCATCTGCACCGTCATAGATCTCAATATAGTCATAACTGCAGGCTGGGTGGAGCTCAATATCCATGCTAGAAAACCTAACACCGAGAGACACACAGGTGAATGAAAGAAACCTCATTCACAGGGAAGCCTTTATGTATCTCCATGTAGTTCCCTGAATTTATAACATTCAATGTAATCTGATAAATGGGGGGGGAACTATTTTGAGTTCCACACCTCACCTTAATTTTTTAAAATTTGGCTTTAAATATTTAGATGTTTGATGTATGGGAAGAAAAGTGTGATGGCTTGGTGTTCAATGATCAAGCACATTTCAAAGCCACTAGGGCCTGGCCCTTGGCTAATCTGAGTATTTGTCCTAGCATGCTCCACACGAACGTCCCATACATGCATGCATTCTAAGTTTATGTAACAGCCAATCAGGGCCGTCATAAAGTCATTTTCTGTCCGGATGGTGACAGAAGATTTGACTGGTCAACAGTTGTAAAATGACTCGGCAGACATGATGACATCAGTGAAATGTGTGCTCCACTGTTCTGACGTGCATAAGTATTGACCAACTTTGACCCAAGTCCAAGCCCATGATGATCAAGTGGATTCGGCCAGAAATGACAAGAACTGAGCTTCCTTGCTTCAATAATAGCAAATAAAGTGGAATATCTTGCGAGAACCACAGTGGGAGTAAACAACCAAACAATTTACTGGACACAATTCAAACCAGACTTCTTGCATGAGTAATGTTTTCCAGCCAAAGGTATGACAAGTAGCCCCCGTTGATTGGTCAAATCCTGGGCGCCAAATTCAGTACTGAGTACTGAAGAGTGGCGTCATTTCGTTCCGGCAGTAATGTCTTTTACACACATAATTATGCCTGTAGCATATTCACTCTCATACTCTATAATCATGGAATCTGTAGCCATGTAATAGATGCTCATCTTCAAGTGAGCATCTATGACACAGACTAGCCTTTGGCTTGGTCCGCTTGGTCATGCCCCGGCCCTGATCCTGTTCTAAATGTACTGATGTACAACTGTACCGTCACATGTTTAGTCCCTTATTAAAACAGCAGAAAGACGACACCAAGTGAACTTCCAAACAGTTGCTGAAATAAACCATGAATTGCCCCACCCCCAGCGAACATTTGACCTTAACAATGATTTGGATTAGGGTAAGTCCAGAAATTGGGAGTCCATCTTTTTTTGTGTCCCTGTCATATCTGACATATGATTTTGTAGTTTCAGAACACATTTTCTAATTTCCAAGAGTGATGAATTAATGCAAATTACCTGCCAAACAAATAGTAATAGTTTGAAATCAATTCCGGTGATATTTCCATGTCAAATAACAAAGGACAGATGTTACAGGGACACAAAAATATCACACTTTTGGACCCCTAATTTCTGAAATTACCCATGAATCAAATATCAACAAGTTCTTTGAGATCAAGAGAAATCCAGTCCAAATCAAAGGTGCAAACAGAAGAAAGGCAGAAACCCTCTAGCCGAATTCTTCACAGTAAACCCCATATATTTACTCCCTCAAACCATTTTTTTTTGGGTACGTACTTGAGAGAGACGGAGCGCTGGTCACTGACCGTGATCAGCCAGCTGCAGTTCTGGTCGTGTCGGTAGGTGTCCAGGTGCTGGGGGGTCTGCACCACCCCTGAAGACCCAGTGAACGTTCCTCCGCATCCTGTTGAGACCAAGCAAGGTAAGCAGCTAGTTCAGACACAAGTTGTGGCTTAGGATTTGACATTAAGTTCACAAAGTCTCTGATTTGTTCACTATTGTGACCACCACAAGAACCCTTAGTCAGATGCAGTGTTTGCCTAGTCTTATGAGTCACTGTGTGATACAAGATTACTATGAAGTGGACAATCAGCAGATGCACGTGTTCTCAATAAAATACATGTTAGCAAAGTCAAATTATCATACAAAAAATAGCAAGCTGTTTTCTTCACTAGAAAAAAGTCAGCTAGCACACTCACTACTATTAAACCATCAGAACAGCATCTGTACTAGCTTTCAACTGGAGATCACTGAGGAAAACCAGTCCCCCCTCCACACACCATGTCTCATACACTCTATGAGCCACTTTTATCAGACTCTGCACACCATTTTCATTACCCTCTGCGTGTTTCTTTCATCAAGCTCTACAAACCACTTTCAGCAAGTTCTGAATGCTACTCTCAGCAAGTTCTGCATGCTACTCTCAGCAAGTTCTGCATGCTACTCTCAGCAAGTTCTGCATGCTACTCTCAGCAAGTTCTGCATGCTACTCTCAGCAAGTTCTGCATGCTACTCTCAGCAAGTTCTGCATGCTACTCTTA